CTGTGGGTCTTGTGCCACCAGTACCAAGTCAAGATGATGCCGTTCGGTTCGCATGGACGGAGGGGTCCCGACGCGAAGTTGTATGCCAAGCCGCCTTCAAAGGTGGTGTTATGAAGGGCCAGAATGTGACGTGGTTTTGAGTATGCAGCAGTCGCCGCCTCTGGATTGTCGTCGAGGACCGCGGCGTTCGACGCGATTCTGCGTCGCAAGTCGTTCCACTCCTTTGAGTCGCCCTCCATGCCGTCTACAATAGACAATGCGCCTTCGAGTATGTCTGGGAGCATGTCCCACGTAACGTTTGTGAGGTCGAGGTACATGTCTGGATGCTGTCGACACTCCTCCCATAGCAGGCAGACAGCATCTGGGTGGGCGTGTTCAATCATGCCGTAGTCGACTTGGTTCATTGGGACGAATCGGTATTTTCCTGTCGAAGAGTCCCACTCAGAGATTTCGACAGCTGGGCGTGTCTTCGGCTTGATCAAGTCAAGGTTGCGGACGAATTGAACGTGCGCTTCGTCAAGGCGGGCCATCCACGCTGGGTGGCTCAGATCCGTGTCCTCGTAGTTGTGATCGCTAGTGCTCATTGGGACGATTGTGTTCGCAGCAGTGACGGTGTAAAGCGAATGTTGTTGGTGTTGGCGTAATGATGTGAGAAGTCGTAAAGTGAATGGATCGAGTGTGTGAATACGTATTGTGTTGTGACGCTCAGCAGGTGTCGTGTTTACTACAAACAGTCGGAATGTCACATGGCCTGTGTAACACTGTGTCACTTCCGTTCTCTAGTGTGCAGTCGTGACCACAACTTCATAACTTCATGTCGTCGAAAGATGGGGAAAAATACGAAGTCATATTGTGATTAAATGGTAGTAATAAGGATGGAGGCGACTCGCCTCAGCGTCGTCCAGGTCGTTCTCATCGTACCATACGTCGTGTTCTGGGCCGTAGCCTACCCAACGAATGAGGTACTGGGTCGTAGCGCCACCGCGATGTCGACGTGTGCGATGGGCGAGGATCCTTTCAATCTCGTATGAGTCGTCTCCTCCATCTTCCATCTCCAAGGGGCCTGGTTGGGTCGACTCACGTCCGTATGGGTCTTCGCCCTGCGGGTACTTCTCGAGCATTGCGACTGAAATGACCTTGTGGATCTTGTTGTATGTCGGATTGTCAGGAAAGTCGAGCTCATAGGCAAGTCGACCCACACGGCGCTTGATTGTGAATGGTCCTTGGTATTGATGGCTGAGTTTGCGGTTCGCTTCGCCTGGGAGCTGGTATCCCTTGTGAAGACGTACCATGACCTTTTGGCCGACCTTGAACTCAATCGCCTTGTGTTTCTTGTCGTAACGTTGTTTCATGGCCGCGGCTGCGAAGGCGAGTGCGTCGCTGGCCTCTTGTCTCGACACTTCCCTGACCTTGTCGAAATCCTCACGTGGGAGTTCGGCGAGCTGGTCGATGGCGTCGAGGTTGTTCTTGAAGCCTTGTAGCACCACATTTGGCTCCACGCCCGTAGAAGCGTTTCTGGAGTTGTTCAGGGTCGCCTGTAGCATGGGCAAGGCGTCCGTCCAATCGTTGTCTGGATGTGTGGTGGCGTAGAAACGCAGTGCAATTTCGACCGTTTGGTTGGTGCGTTCGCTCTGTCCGTCCGTCTGAGGATGGTAGGCGGTCGAAGTGAGCAACTTCGTGTTGAGCTTGTCGAAGACAGCCTTGAAGAACGACGAGAGCCAGAGTGGGTCCCTGTCCGTAATCAACATCTTGGGGATGCTCCATTCGTTCTGGATCAGCAGATCAATCCATTTTCGACCCCATTCCTGTGCAGACCAGGTCGACTTTCCTGTGCCAAGTATCACGCGCTTTGTGAAGTGATCTGTCATCGTGAGCATCTTGTCGAAGCCGTCCTTGCTCGGAGGGAGTGCAACGACCCAATCTGCTGTCATTGCGTAACCTGGCACTGGCTTGATCTGTGCTGGGTTGAGTTCGCCATACGGCTTGTGTCGGGTCGTCTGACAACGGATGCATTCCTGACAATGTTCGATGTACTTTCGCAAATGACGTGAGAGCGAGCGAATCACGAAGCTTGCGCTCACTCGCGCGTACGTCCTTTCAAAGCCTGAGTGGTAATGGTCGTCGTGTGCCATCTTGAATATGTCGCCAAACATGTTCTTAGGGATGCAGAGTCGTTCTCTGCCGTCTATGTCGTCGCGGAAATAGATCAAGTCGCGTCTCAGGAAAAAACGTGTTCCCAGCAGGCTTGGCTCGACCTGCTCGCTGTCGGCGTCCAAGGTTTCCGGCTCCGGGCGTAGTGCCTTCAGCTCTTGGAGGCGTTCCGCCCACGCTGGGTCGTCTGAGTATCCCTCTTTGATCTTTTCGCGCATGTCGTCGGTCATCTCCACGAGGGCGACATGGAAGACGGCGGGTTCGTCGACCCTATGCTTCAATGCGACTTCTACAGTCGTAACGGCGCCTTCTGGTTTGGCGTCTGGGTCGTCATGGCTCATGTCAAGCGCCTCGTAGCCTTCGGCGAACTGTCTTTCACGTTCGCCAGTCAGTCGGCTCAGTGCGTCCGGCACCGCATGAATGCGACCAGGCTTGTAGATGACCCTGAGGTTGAAGGTCGACAGGTATTGTGATGCCCGTACCAGTCGAAGGTTCTGCTTTTGTGTTGAAGTCGTAGTCGTCAGGTTGGACTGCGTCGCAATTTGCACAGCTGCGGCGTGGTCGGTGAAGACGAAGACTTCTGCCGTGGTTGCCTTCAGGATGGGGCGTGTCTTGGTCGTCGCCCACACCAAACCGGCGACTTCCAGCTCCGTTGGCCAGTAGTTCTTCTCGGCTGGTGACAGATTGCGACTCAAATACATGATGACCTGCACCTTGCTGGCTGGGAAGTGCTTCGCCTTGCCGCCCTCGATGATTGGGTCCGGGTCGCCTTCTACCATGTAGAGCACTGCTCCGAAGCCCCAGGCCTTCGATGCGTCGATGTCCAGGTATTTAC